AATAAAATTCCAAGCAGTCATAGAATTGTACAATGCCCAAGGTGGGAAGAGAGACTCTAGAGATCAACTAATCCAACTAATCCAATATCACTGTCTGAATATATGAGACACTGCTGACATACCAAGTGTTAGAATAATTCATTCAACATTTTCCTTCTGTGAACACCTTTATGATGAACTTTCAAGGYAATGGAAATGCAAACAGCTGCTACTGATAATAAGCAACTAATTTGGAATTCTTTTTAACCAAGTTGTTTATATAGCCTGGATCCAAGGTCCACCTAAACGGGGGATTTTTTAGCAACTTGTGTATATAAAAAATTATCCCATAATGACACAAATTTTCCATTGGTATTGGAATAACTCTGTATTTTAAGTCATGTGTCCCAGAGATAAAGGACTCCATATAAAATAGCTCGTGGAGTTGAGCCTGCAGCACCCAGGAACTGGCACCATGCTTGGAATCCTCTTTGCTGTGTTGACTCTGGCACCTGCAGGTATGTGTTCAACTTCTGCTTTAGTTTTAAAAGAAAAAGTTAATTAAAATCTGGAAACAGCTTTCCTTTCTTAGATAAATTTAATATTCTGGATCAAAGCAGAAAAAAATACAGCATAGAAAGTTCACTACAAGGATCTCTCAAAAGAGTAACTGAGCACTGTGATATTCCATATCTTACAGATATTTTTTTAAACCTACTTTCAAAACATACATCCTATTTTTATGTCTTCTAGCCTTTGGCTGYGGGGTTCCTGCCTACCCACCTCTTGTGTCCAGAGTTGTTGGAGGGGAAAATGCAAGACCATACAGCTGGCCCTGGCAGGTTGGTCATTCTGTGCTTTTCCTGGAACAACTGGGGCTGTGTCATCCCTGCTCAGCACAACTGAACAAAAACACCTCTTATGTTCCATTTGGTACAACTTGCCTGGCGTGTCTTAGGTTTTGACTCCTCTCTTCTGATCAATACTACAGTTTTCAGTCAGTTTGGGAAAGCTCTGAATATGCCACATTTTGCTGGCTCTTGTTTTAAGTCAAGTAGATTTGGGCTATTTAAGCAAGACATATTTTAAAAATCAARCTTTGGATGATAGGGAAGGAGGGAAAGCTTTTCTGTGGCCAGAAGTTAGAAACTTGYTACTTTAAAGCCTTCCACCATCAGCAGGCTGTGTTCTGGGTGCATGAACAAAGCTCAGTGATGAAAAATGAGAAGGCAAAAGCCTGAGCTTTACTTGGTTCTTTGATCCCAGGCCTCCCTTCARTACAATTCCAATGGCAAGTGGCATCACACGTGTGGAGGAACCCTCATTGCCACCAACTGGGTCCTGACAGCTGCCCACTGCATCAGGTAAGCAATGAAACCAAATCTGACCCAGAGGCAGCATGGGAGCAGAGGGAGATGAARGAAAACCATGTCAATGCCAGCGCTCCCTTCCCAGTGGAATGCTCTGAGTTTCACATCCTAAGTCAGGAAAATGGCACCTCTTTATTTTCTTAATGCAAAAGAGGGGGAAAAACCCTGTTACTTGAATTATATACTCTTCATTTTTCATAAAAAACCTACAAGCATCCTTATGTTTTTGAGCTGCTATTAAAATTCAGCTGTGTTGCCTGTTTCTGTAATATATATATCAGTGAGATCCACAAATTAACTAATCAAKCCACTCCCTGAAGAAATAATCACAAAGATTTTTAATGAACCAATMATTTTCAGTAAATGCTTCATATTACGTGGCAGCTTAACAAAGAGATTATCAGGTACAGCTATGTMATTTCATCATCAAAGCTGTTTCCACAAATAAACCCCATTTTGCTCTGGTAGCTGATGATTATTATAACACGAAGTTTTAGCAAATATGGTGATATGAAACATGAAGGATTGGCTGCATGTTATTACAAATCCTACATATTGTATCCATCATACAGTTATTTATTAGTGAAGCTGTTTATGGCTGTGAAAAAAAGTCCAAGTTGTTACTGCATTGAAGAATACGAGTGGAATTCTGCAAAGATTGGAGGCACCTTGAGTTTGTTAATGAAGCTTTGAGCAATTTATCTTAACTTYGAGGAGTTGAGAGAACAGCTCAGACATGAAATGACCATGAAGTCTAGGACACAATCTTTGCCCTTAGCAAATCACTCTCCAGGCACAGCACATCTCTCTGTGATGAGAGATATTCTCATTGACTCAGGAGCCAAAGATGCAGAGCAGCAGCTGCATAACTGAGTGTTCATCCTTTTCTTGCTCAGTTCTCGGACGTATCGAGTGTTTCTTGGAAAATACAACCTAGCAGCTGAGGAAGAAGGATCAATTGCACTTTCTCCAGAAAAGATCATTGTTCATGAAGACTGGGATCCACAGGATGTTGCAAATGGGTAAGTTGTAGGCAAGTGTTTTTTCAGTTTTTAGATGCAGGACAAAAATCAAACTGCCTGAATCCCACAGACCTGGAGTTATGGCAATTAAATTCCTGTTTAGAGTGTCCTGTTACAGTCTCCAGTTATTCCTTCCCCCTCAAGAGAATAAAAAGCAGTTAACAATATTAATTTATTATTTACTGATAATATTTCCAGAAGCTGTTTTAAGTGTTCATGCTCAGGTCAGAAGCTGTTCCATGTGATGATACCTTTTGTACAATGAAAGGGAATGAAGTATTTCATACAACATTCTTTGGAGCTGTCCTACAGCAGCACAGACACAGAATTATTGATCATTAATATCAGTGTTGCTGAAGGACCCCTGGCCCTGCTGCAGCCTAAGAGAGGAAACAAAGGAATCCCCTCAGTTCCAGGTCATTGGAGTGAGTCCTGACACATGCTTGGTTTTGGGGAGAAAATCCTATAAAAGAAAATTTTTTGCCAGCAGGAAAGTGGGCAGTTCTGCAGGGAATAGCCTTCCAGTCCATGAATTTCTGTGTTCAGGGTGCAGAATCTTTGCTGCTTATGCTCTTGCCTTACTCCCTTGTTCTGTTTCTCGTAGGCCAAGTGCTGTGTAATGTTGCTGTTGGCCAGACAGCCAACATAAAATAACAGACACAAAGACACACATATACACACACAAAAAGTAACCCCTTTATTCTGGGACAGGYCTCTTTTATCCACTTTAGYAMCCAGTGCATACATTYSTKTCAMACATACATTGGTCAGTGAGGCTGTCWCTTTCTACTCAACAGCACAGGATTGGTAGGTTTGCAAAAAAAAGCTACAGTATTARTAATGYTTATAATTGTAAGCTACCTGCATTATCAATTCTACATTCTAATCTTCTTTTTCTCAASACAACTAAGGACGTGGCGTTTTATTTCCATGCAAGCTGTTAACACTCCTTACAGTGTAACTGCTGAGTACTCAGGCTGCTGTGTCTTCATCCATTTTGCAAACTTTTTTCCCCTTCCCTCTGTCTCCCTTACTCTCCAAAACGTGCACAGGTACGACATTGCTCTGATCAAACTCTCTGAGCACGTCACCCTGAGTGAGCAGATCCAGCTGGCGTGCCTGCCCCCTGCCCAGAGCATCCTCAGCTCCAACACCCCCTGCTACGTGACAGGCTGGGGAAGGCTGCAGAGTGAGTACCTGGGCATTTGCAAAACCACCCAACAAAAAAAAACCTTTCAGAAGTGCCTTCTGTGAGATTGACAGCAAAGACTGCTGATGGTGCTCGAGATCCCCTCAAAACTCAGTGTAGTTTGTTATATCAGGCCCCACTTCACTCACACATTATGATTTTTGCCTTTCAGGTTTATTTTCCTTGTGACAGCACTGGTAATGCACCTGAGGGCCCTTTGCTGAGCTTTTAGGAGCTATTGTAATGCAAATGTTAATAGTGTGCAGACAGGTGCATTTGCTAATCCTGATACACTGCTGAGCATCTTAAAACACATGAGGGAATAGATGTCAAGTGAAGAAAATCTTAAGGGATTTCAGCAGAGGTGTCAGCTTGGCTCAAGAGGCAATCCTTTGAGGGATAAGTAAATTGCAAACTACTGAAAAAAGAGTAGCCTTTTATTTCTTCAACAATGAGATGCTTTTTAATGGAATGCAAATTTTTAGTAAGTTATGGTGTATATAAAAGAATGGAGCTAAGGGACATGCATACATGTAACAKATATACAGCTTCTCCTCTAATACAACCCCTGTGGAGTATTTCACCTGGAGGGATGGTACAAAGATCCCAGGAGACACTTTCCAGASCAGTTTTATTCTTCCTTCAGTGCCATGAACTCTGTGTTTCTGTTCTCCCTCAGCAAATGGAGCCCTCCCCGATGACCTGCAGCAAGGCCTTCTGCTGGTGGTGGATTATGYAACCTGCTCCCAACCTTCCTGGTGGGGAAAAATAGTGAAACCCAGCATGGTTTGTGCTGGTGGGGATGGAATCATCTCCAGTTGTAACGTGAGTCCACTCTAGGGTTTGCTTTAGCCACAAACAGCCCTGGTGGGAAGGAAAATCCCCCACAGAGGAGCTGCTCAGTGCCATTAAGTGCCTTTCTCTTCCTCCCAGGGTGACTCTGGAGGTCCCCTGAACTGCCAGGGAGCTGATGGCAGCTGGGAAGTGCACGGTATCGTCAGCTTTGGCTCTTCTCTTGGCTGCAATTATTACCAGAAGCCATCAGTGTTCACTCGGGTGTCTGCCTACAGCAGCTGGATCGAAAAGGTGAGGCACTGCCAGCCCTGGGATTCTCTCTCTGCAGCTTCTGCCACCTTCTAGGAGCTCTCTCACTCTTGATTCCATTGAAATYATCCTCCTCTGAAACAGATACCCAWTTTWTTTTTTGCWTTTTAGCAGGTTTTGATAGTAGAAATGCATTCTCCCTTTATCTTGGCTTTTTCTAGATTTCCAGTTCCTTTCCGTTCCACATTTTGCAGATATTAACCTTTGGACTGAAAATAAATATGTTATTAAACATCTATTCTGCCTATCTCAGAAGTGATTAGCTAAATTATATTATTAAACATTTATTGCCTATCTCAGAAGTGATTAGCTAAATTATATTATTAAACATAAAGATTTACTGCCTATCTCAGAAGTTATTAGCTAAATTTTATTCATCAATGCCTTGATTGCTGCAACTGCATCCTAAAAGGCAGCACATGCAGCTCAAGTCTGGAATGCCAAATATCTTTTTTAATTTAATATAAACTTTGACTGAGAAACAAAACTCTCATTTCAGTTATTTAAATCCTGTGATTTGGACGCAACACATACTGTTCACAAATTCCTGTATCTCTTGATCTGATTTTTCACTTGTTTTATGTTTTTGTAGGTTATGGCAACCAACTAATCCAACGAGAGCTGGTTGAGAGATACCAAGAAGGAAAACAGTTTGAACAAAGTCACAATCATGACACTTTTATCACAAAGAACTGGGAAATCATGCTTTTAACAACACAAGTATTAAACTACTATTGCAATAAACAGTACTTTTTGCCAAATGAAAACAAAACGTGTGTCTCTGTCACTCCTTCCTGACAGTGGCAAGCCCAGAGCCTGTGTTTGGGGATAATCCTGGTTATTTTTCCCTGTACCCTACCTTGAGCTGGAGCTTTCCAGCCTCACCTGGGGAAGTTTGGAGCCCACTGTGAGGAGGGTGGGCAGTGGGAAGGGTCAGAGCATCACAAAACGCCTCGGGGAGGCACCCGGGGCTGGAGGCAGCTGCCAGGACCTGAGGTTGTGAGTGGCACTGCCTGGAGCCAGCAATGCCAGCAGGGAAGGCAGCACAGGAGCCAGCAGGTCCCTGCAGGTGAGTGCTGGAGCACTGCAAAATGCTTTTATGGAGAGGTTTTATCACCTGGGRTCTTGGAGATGGAAGGAGAAGGGTGGGACCAGCTCAGAGGGCAGCTCTGTCTGTCCATGGCAGAGCTCAGAGTGGTCATTGTCAGCTGCCCCACTGGCAAAATGGGGATTTTTGGCAAAGCAAAACACAATCCCCACTTTTTTTCTCAGTTAAAGCCYCCATTTGTTGTTTCGTTGTAATGAAAGATAGGCAATGTGAAACCAAGGTGGATTTTTTTTTGTGTTTTCCTTCTCCACCCAGCACATTTTAGGTGTTTCCAAGAGTAAAAGGAATGATTATAAATGGAGGGCAAGTGACCAAAGGGAAGCTGTAGATAGAGAAAGCAAAAGGTTGGAAGTTCATTGTGAGAACAGAAATGCTCAGATATGCATTTTCTAGGCTTTCAGTTCCTTTCAGTTGGACATTTTGCAGATATTAACCTTTGGACTGAAAATAAATATATTATTAAACATAAATTAAATTAATAAGAGAAAACATGGCTGTTTATTATCTTTGGGGATTGTACTTTTATCACTTTTATCACTTTACAACCATTGACCACCATTCTGCGCAGCAAGAATTTGTTTTGCTTAATATCAGCCTCTGCTGAGAAAAAACAGGCTTTATTGGGTTTTATTTACCTGTCTAAAAGTGTGATTTCCTATATCTCAGGTTATCTGAGGAGGGCTTTTTTCAATCACCTTTAYTATGCAGAACTTTGTTCTTTATCAGTGGAAATAAGGATTGCCCWGTTATTCAGGAATCATCAGCTCCATTCTGAGTTTTTTTCATGAGTATCATTAATATAAGATTGTAAATGATGGAATAATAGTTTTGAAAACTAAAATCATTAGAGGTTACTTTGCTGTATGGAGCATGGATGTCCACTATGTGCAGCATGAAAGAGAGACAGAAAGATAATCATGAAGCTTAAACGGTAAAAATTGGATGTGCAGATGCTTTGGTAAAAACTGAAAACAGAAATGTAATTCATTTTCCTTCTGAAATATTTGSGTAATATTGTAAAAAATATCTGAGCTCACTTGAACATATAAAAAGAAATTATTGATCATCTGGAAATGCGTAGTAAGAACAAATTCTCAAAGTTCAATTAAAAAATTCATCAGTTCCAGTTTGTGATCACTGGAATAAAGTAACCCCTCTTTTCATGGCCTTCCTTAAGATTTGGATCGAAGTGTCACAGAGGATAAAACCTACAGCAAATGGGTTTATTACCTTTTATACTCACAGAAAAACAGTATAATTCATATCTTTTTGCAGATCAGAGTGTGTCAAGAAGCAGTCTCTTAAATAGAGATTTTCTTTTAAAATTAATGTGAGGTGGAAAAAAATGCAATAAAATATGTCTTTAAAAAGCATCCAGATAATGCATTTTCCTTGTGCTTTGTTTCAGAATGCATGGGAATTGTGAAATATCACTGTTAGATCCAGTTGTGGTTTCAGGACAAAACATTCCTAGGATCAGATAATGCCTCTGTTGGTTTTTAAATTATTTTTTAAAATTTCTTTTTAGATGTTTTCCCTCCTCCAGTGCCGGTGGTAAAAAACCAGTTCAACGGATTTTGACAGCGTGCATGGTCTCCTTCTGCAGCCTCCTCGGGGCCATTTCTTTTGATTTGAGCAACAGTCTGGAAATATGGAAAAACACAGAGAAAGCCCTTCAGGAACTCACCTCCTGTGAAAACCTTTGGGCTGCTCACCTCATCTCTGTCCTGCAGAAAGAAAGGCACAGCTGGCTGTTCCCAGCAGCAGACACRAGGAATAAATCATTCCATTCTCAGCTCTTGGGGGATTTAAACTCCCTCTGTATGGAGAGTGAAGCAGAACTGYACTGCGAGAATTGCCAGTGCAAGGAGGAGAAAATCTCCCTTTGTAGATTTTACACAAATGACTTGAGACACAAATTGAATATGTCAGGGTTTACTGAAGCCGGGCAGATGCTGTCCAGAGCAATCTCTGAGCTGCTGCAGCGTTTCAGGAGTCCCCATGAGGATCTCAAAGCCATGAGACACAATCCTGCCTGGGCAGACACAGCAGCATTTAAACTCATCCTCCAAATCAGAGAAGCCCTTCTCAAATCAGCACCAGCACMTAAGAGCCTTCAAACCACACTGCACCAACATTTCACTGCTCTGAGCTTTGCTCTTTTCTCCTCAGAGACAGCACACAAGTGTTGGACAGATAACATCAATCAGTCACTTCATTCCACCCGTGATGAAGGAATTTCTTTCTTCACCACATCCCTGGGTTTGGGTGATGTTGTGTCCCTGGAAGCCTCAGCCAGGGGATTGCTCTGTGCACAGAGCTGCCTGCTGCAGGAGGGACAGGCAAAGCTGCACAAGAAATCCAGGGAAATGCTGTCCACAATAAGCCTGAGGATCAGCCTGGTGCTGGTGGCCTGTCTCATCTACCCCATCGTCCTGATGTCCTTCAAACAAATGACAGACTGGATACACAATTATGCCAGGAACCTCAAGGAAAAGACAGAGGACTTGAAAAGGGAGAGGCGCCTAGCTGAGGACCTCTTGCACCAAATGTTGCCAAAATCTGTGGCCAAGCAGCTCAGGAAATGCCAAAAAGTGGAGGCAGAAAATTATGATCAGGTGAGCACACGGAAAGGATGTTTCCACCAAGAGGAGGAATGTATTCACCTAAAATAGCACTTACCTTGTCACCGTGAGGATTCTGGTTCTGCATCCCGGGCTGAGGGTGGATGGAAATCCAAATATCCCTGATGGATTTTGGAAAGAGCTGTGCAATGTGCTGTGGAGAGCTCGGGCTGAGGGGAAGGAAGAAGAGCTGAGATTTCCAGACACAGCTTTAGATGTCAAACATCCCATGCTGGCAAATTGTCTTTGCATTTAAAAGCTTACCCACGACAGCCAGCCAGATCATTGGAGCTCATAGGAGAGACAAATTAGTGTCCTCATTGTAAAAAATAGGAAAATAAAAGAATTGCTGCTGTGCTGCAGAGCCCTCAGCCCAAATCCTCATGCTGCAGTCATTGCAATTCTGCTCACTCTTTTCCTCTGGACACCCTGTTTCTTTCAGCTGTGAAACACAATGATAAATGTTTGCATTTAATCTGTAGGTGTCATTATCTAAACAACAACCTGTAATTGCACAATTAATTATAATCCACAACAGTCATGACATCAAAAGTAGCTGAACCAAGGCAGAGAGTGAAAAGGTGGCTCTTCCAGATTAATTAGTATTAGCAAGGGTGATTTGAGTTTAAACACTGACACAATTCTGACAGAACAGAGAAGAAACAATTCTTTGCCAACAGCTGTAACACACATTTCCCTCCCTCAATTCTATTCTCTAAGTTTGATTTYTTTTTTTAATTTTTCCTGTAAATTACTTGACCATAGCAAACATAATTTGAAGAGAAACAAAATCCACTTAATATTTCCTAATTCAACAAGAGCAGAGATGGCAATTGAGATTTTATTTCACAGTTTTTGGGTATCTAGTTTTATCCCTATCACAGTTTAAATCACTTTTAAAGGAAAATGAGACTCTACTTCTATAAGAACTCTGTTGATCACTGCTCACAAGATTCAAAGCATTTGACTTTCAGTCTCCCATTAGCATGAGGTATTCACAGCAGTGCAGGTGATAAGTGCTGGAGATAAGAATAATTTTATTTGTCAAAGTAGTAGAGAACAATTCAGGGCCAGAGCTTGTTAATTTAGGGTTGTGTCTGTTGACTGGTTCTACATGCAGCCTGTGCCTTAGGCTGCTGTGCTCAGAATTTCACAACTCCCCAAACTCTCTAAAGGCTTCATGCTCTCCCTCTCCCTGGAACAGGTGACTATTTTCTTCTCGGACATCGTGGGGTTCACAGGMATTGCTGCCTCCTGCACTCCCTTGCAAGTGGTTGAGATGCTCAACAATCTGTACGTCTGCTTCGACACCAGGATTGAATCCTATGATGTGTACAAGGTGAGTACAAACCCACAGCAAAGGAATCTGGAACCAGCTGAAACCTTTCTTACTCTGTTTTCTGGTGAATATCAAATACCCCAGGCCGGGAGGCCAAAATCCATAAAATCCAACACCCGCCATTGCACACAACAGTCTGGCAAGTGCTGGGCAGCTAAAATAGATTTTATTCTGATTTTCTTCCTAAAGGAAAGCTCAATGCCTGCCACTTAGTGACACATGCCCCTTCCCATCAGGTGGAAACCATTGGGGATGCCTACATGGTRGTGAGCGGGCTGCCCGAGAGGAACGGCACCAAACACGCCCACGAGATTGCCAAAATGTCCCTGGACCTGGTGGCAGCAGTCAGGCAGGTGCTGATCCCTCACATGCCAACGGGCAGGCTGGAGCTGCGGGCTGGGATCCACACAGGTACTGGCTGAGGAGAATGGAGGAGGAAAACAATGGGACACGGTCCAGGTGTGGAGGGGAAAGGAGTTCGGCATTTCTGGACAAGGAATATAAATATTTCTCCTGGTTCCAGCAGGAACAGGGGGGTG